AAGAGAGAAAGAGAGAGAGAAAGAGAGAGAGAAAGAGAGAGAGAGAGAAAGAAAGAAAGAAAGAAAGAAAGAAAGAAAGAAAGAAAGAAAGAAAGAAAGAAGGCCATGCCTTTCCGTTGGCGGTTGTTTTTAAGCAACTGTTTCCTACACTCCGGCCCCGTTCTCACGGTAGGGACCCCCGGAGACAGTTAGGCCTTGGACGACCACCGGACCTCAATTTGAATGGCAGTGGGGTTTTTACAAAAATGTGCACGGATTCTGGAAAATAAATCTGTTCTCCGAGGGCAGAATCCAGAGGCGAGTATCTGTGTGAATGGCCTTCTTGCTAGAGACCAGGACTGCAGAGTTCACGCTGGGAATTTATGTGTGTGTGTGTGTGTAGAAACCTCCAAGAGCCCGTCTTGAGGGTATCAAAATTCCCATTGTAAAAAGAAGCCAGGCTATTTTCAGAGTCACTCGGGAGGGGGTCTAGGGTCTAGGGTCACTAGCAGCGCACCTTCTGGGCTTGGGTCGGTCTGAAATTGAAGGTTCCCCCCCCCCTCTGAACTGCTTAGAAGTCGTGCGATTAGCAAAATATGCCCCCCCAGAACATCCCCCCCCACTCAAGAGACACCAGAAGATGACTGTCCTTTGCTTGACTTGGGGGGGGGGAAGCGAATCTGGCGGCGCTCCGGTGAGCGCTTTACCCGGGAGAAAGCCCCAATTCAATAAAGCGGGCCTTCTGATTTAACACGCATAGGAGGTGCGCTGAACATTTTTAGGTGCGCCTAAAATGTTTTTTTTTTTGGGGGGGGGACACCCTCTCGGCAGTCCCCCCCCCCAGTATTCGCCCCGCTCCTTGACGCCCGGCGGCGCGGAGCCCGGAGGAGGCGGGAGCGGAACCAACCCCGAGAGCCAGAACTCGGCAGACAAAACTCCGGCAGCTTAGCCGAAGAAGGCCCGGACATCTTGAACTTCTTAGGGAAAAATGTGGAAAATATTTTCGCAGCGATGATAGACGGCGACCGCAAACTCCCGAGCCCTTCTGACTACCGCCCTCTCCCTGTCTCGCCGGGGGGACCGGAGCCCCGGAGCCGGCTTCTGTCGCCGCTCCTTCGGGCCAGATCCCTCTCCGCCCCGGCCCCCATTTGCTCGCCATGGAAGGCTCGATCCGGTCTCTCCGCCTTGCTTCTCCAGAAAGAGCGACGCGCAGACCCGCTCCCTTTCCCCTTCCTTCGGGAAGGCCCGCGTATCGAAAGGACCCCCGGCCGCAGCCTCCTGGCTCCCTGCTCCATGGCACAGGGAACGCGGAGTTTGCTAGGTCCTGGGGATCGGCCGAGGGGGGTTGCCCGTCAAAACCAACCCGGCCTTTCTTCGCGCAATTGCAATGTCCCCTCTAAGCTGTGGAGTTTGGTGAGCAAGAATCCTTTTTTGGGAGCTACGGGCATTGAAGTTGTGAGCGAGCCATTTGGCTGCTGCATAAATGAGTTTGCTCTGGAGCCATCCCTCCTGAGCAAAGACAAAAAACGTGTGAGCCAGAGGCTAAAAAACTGTGAGCTCGCTCACACGGACTCGGCTTAGAGGGAACACTGATTCCAGGCACCTCCTCAGGGAAGGGAAGCCTCGCTGTGTGTGTATGTGTGTGTATTTGTTGTTGTTCAGTCGCACAGTCGAGTCCGACTCGTCGCGACCCCATGGACCAGATCCCGCCAGGCCCTCCTGTCTTCCGCCGTCCTCTGAAGCTGGCTCAACTTCATGTTCGTTGCATCTATGACACTGTCTGACCATCTCATCCTTTGCCGTCCCCGTCTTCTTTGACCTTCAATCTTTCCCAGCATCAGGGTCTTCTCCAGTGAGTGCTCCCTTCTCATTGGGTGGCCAAAGTATTTGAGCTTCAGTTTCACTATCTGGCCTTCCAGGGAACAGTCCGGGTTGATTTCTTTGAGGATTGACTGATTTGCTCTCCTTGCAGTCCAAGGGACTCTCAAGAGTCTTCTCCAGCACCATAGTTCAAAAGAATCTATTCTTCGGAGCTCGGCCTTCCTTATAGTCCAACTCTCGCAGTCATACATGACTATTGGGAATACCATTTGCTTTGACCATCTTCTTTGACCTTCAATCCATCCCAGCATCAGGGCCTCCTCCAGTGAGTGCTCCCTTCTCATTGGGTGGCCAAAGTATTTGCGCTTCAGTTTCATTATCTGGCCTTCCAGGGAACAGTCAGGGTTGATTCCGTATGTGTATACGGCTTTCCAAACTGCGGGAGCTCCCGCTGAGTGGGGCAAGTCAGCCTTTGCTGGCAGATGTTTGTGAAAGCTGCAGGCGGCACCGGTGAAGGCAGGCCCCCCCTCCAGGGTGCCTCCGGCCTTCACAGACACCTGCCTACGAATGCTGAGCGCTGGGCCCGCTCCCGCCACCGGTCCTAACCCCTTCAAGGGACCCCCGAGCTCCCCCGCCCCCGCTTTCCCCCCTGAAAAGGGAGAGAGCGGCTGTTCCTGCGCCGGTAACGTTGCTCGCCTCCAGGTCTTCCGAACGATAAAAGCAAGATAACCCCCCCCCCCGACCCGCGAGCGCTTTCTAAATTTAGCCCGGCATGTATCCAAGATGGTTGGGCATCTAGGACGCCCACACGCCCCCCCCTCTCCCTGAAAACTGGAATGGCGCCCCCCCTGTCAGAAAGGAGATGTTTGGAATGAAACCCTGGCCAAACAAGCTGTTTGCAATTTGAGGCTTTCGCCTTCCAGCGCGGCTTCCCCCTGCGCTTGGGACCTCGGGTGTCCCGCAAAAGCACCCGGCCGATCTGCCCCCCAGCGCCCAGCAGGCACCCGGCCGGCATCTCCGCGGGAGTTCGGCTCCCCGCAGAGATGTCCCCCTCGGGAAGCGCTCCCCACCCAGACGGCGCGGGCCGCGGGGCTCGGAAGAGACGGGCCGGGCGTTCTCTGTTAGCCCGCTCCGTCTGGACCGGCTGGGGCTTCCAGGTGAAACTGGCTGGTCCGTCTTCGCCCGGTGAGGGAGGGTGGGTTGCGACGCTTCGGAGAGTGTTCCTCCTTCGGCCTCCTCCGCAAAATCTCCCCTTGCAACGCCGGGCTCTGGGTGCAGCGAAGCATCCAGCCAAAGGGATGAAACTGGGGGGCGGGGGGGGGGGTCGGGGGCTCGCGTGGGAGAAGAGCTGGTCTCTCCTTCGCTGCTGCACAAAATGCTTTTACAAACTTGCCTGTGCTCCGTAGTCCTGTGTTTGGCTTCTTGCAAGGAAGATCGCATTTATGTAACCTCTACACCACTCAATGCAGGGGTGTCGAATTCATTTGTTATGAGGGCCGGATCTGACATAAATAAGACCTTGTCTGGCCGGGCCACGTGTGTCATAAAAGGTAATGCCAGGCAGCGGAGATATAAACTTTGTAAAGGACACAAACACAATTAAATATGTTTTTTTTAACTTAAAATAAAAGCATGCTTAAAACATTAGCACTCTTGCAATATTTTGTTTATTTAACAGTGCCTGATAACTGACCCCTCTTGCTCTGAATTATTACACCAAAATGTCTGTGCGGTTGAGTGTGCTGTTCAGGTGTGTATCTGTAAGCTGCAAACCGACGAGCAGCAGCAGCTTAACTGGAAAAAGCAGCAGAAGACAGCCAGTTCCACTGCGGGCCTGATAGAAGCCCTCTGGGGGGGCCGCATGTTTGACACCCTGGCTTAACGTGTCCTGTGGATACTTCAGTCCTTTCTGGGGGGGGGGGGGGGGGGTGGGGGGGGGGGGGGGGGGGGGGGGGGGGGGGGGGGGGGGGGGGGGGGGGGGGGGGGGGGGGGGGGGGGGGGGGGGGGTACTTTGTGAGCTACTGACATTAAAGTTGTGAGTGAGCAATTTGGCTACTGCATAAATTAGTTTGCTCTGGAGCCCTCCTTCCTGAGCTAAGACAAAAATGTGTGAGCCAAAGACTAAAAAACTGTGAGCTAGCTCACACTAACTCAGCTTAGAGGGAACACTGGCTACTGAATGCCCCATTTGGTCCATTGTACTTGGCCCCCTCTGTGTAATCCTCCTTGCGAGAAAGGAGGACTATGCACAAAGTGAATAAATCAACCCGTACACGATCCTTAATGCAACCTCCCATCTCCCCCACCCCAGGAGCTCTGGCCGGGACCGAGAGCTCTCCCTACCCTCCCAAGATGGAAGACTGGCCGAGTGTCAACAGGACCGCCTTCTCGACAGCCGGGCAAGGCGTCAACGCGCTGGACAAGTCGGCGGGGGAGACGGACATTAAATATCCCCAGGTAACCGCGCCGGCCCGCCAGGAGGGCCTTCTGTCTTGGGGGTGCGACGCGGTCAGAGATCCGCGGAGAAGAAACCCAGGCGAGAAGGAGCCAGACTGAAGCTGGGGCGAAGGGCCGCTGGGGTCGGTGCGTGCAAGGGCGATCCGGCGCCATCGCAGGGAGCTGGTGGGAAAGGAGACTAAAAAGCCCCCCCCCCTCCGAGAATACTTTTTTCAGTTTCTATTTGTGAGATGCAAAATAGTAAAAAGCCCGGTAGCACCTTTAAGAACTGATCTGACGAAGAGAGCTGTGTTTCTCGAAAGCCTATGCTACTCTAATAAAGTTTGTTAGCCTTAAAGGTGCAACTGGGCTTTTTAACTTTTTGCAGCAACAGACTAACTCCGGATCGATGTTTATGAGCGATCAAACTCAAGAGGGGTGGGAGAGAAAACGCTGGTGAAGGGGAGAGAAGTCTCCCCGCGCCACGCCTGTGTGACTCCAGTCCAAGAGTTCGTTCCAGCAAGAGGGTTCTTCGTTTCAGGATGAAATGTACCAATTAGGCAAGGGCGGAGCGATTCCAACACTTACGGGCTGGAGCTCCGTTTGCGTTTTCGCTGAAGGTCTCGTCTCTTAAAACGTTCCTCTTTGTTGGTAAATTCTAGCATGGGAAGGGTAACTGGGATGAAAATAACAAAAGAGCATAATCGGCTACATCCTTACACTACAAAGACAAAACTAGAAGAGAGAGATTATGGCAGCTCTTCTTGTTTTCCTTCAGAACAGCAAACAAAGACGGGAAGAGAAGCCATAAAATGGTAATACACCTTGACACTTTGGTCCCAATCAAATTCCTAGATTAGGGAGAAAATTCCCGGGGAATTCCACAGCTAAAGAACATTGGTTGCATGAGGAGCATGTGACTTCCTGGGAGTAACATAAACAAACATTTAACCCCAGATATACTGAGTGTTTTCAACTTGTAATACCCAACACTCTTGAATACCCGCGTCTTAGTTCAGGATCCGGCTGCGCCTGGTCGCTCCAGAATTCAGACCTGGGTTCTGTAAATGCCGCCGCCGTTGACTGGACCCAGAAGGGCAGCCCCGTTAGACTGTTGTTGCAAAAAGCAACCAGGAACGAAAGATAGAAATTTTTGTCCGGACCAAAATGGCATCTGAAGAAGTAGGTTTTGTGTGTGTGCCAGTTTGCTGTAGTGGTTAAGCGCTCGGACTCTAATCTGGGAGAACCGGGTTTGATTCCCCACTCCTCCACCTTCAGCTGCTGGATGACCTTGGGCAAGCCAAAGCTGTGGCAGAGCTGTTCTGGAAAGAGCAGTCCTCGAGAGAGCTCTCTCAGCCCCGCCTACCTCCCAGGGTGTCTGTTGTGGGGAGGGGAAGGGAAAGAAGATTGTAAACCGCTCTGAGACTCCAAGTGAAGGGCGGGGTATAAATCCATTCTCTTCTTCTTCTAATACCTTCTGACCTGAAGCTCTACCCACCTGCCTGTTTACTGGACGGAGAGTGATGCAGGGGAGACCCCAATAGTCCAGCTGTTGTTATTGGTGTTTCTGGGAGGCAAACTTCCCTCCACGTCCGCGTGTTCGGGATCAGGGCGGGGGTCGGCCTGGAGAGGGTCTTTTTTGCTCGGCGCTTCCGCACCCACCGAATCTCGCTCTCTCCCCCCCCCACACAGGCTCCCCCTGGACTCTCGGCGGTGAGCACCTTCCTGCCCCCCTGCGCCTACCCGGCCTCCAACCAGCCCGGCGTCTACGGCGGCCCCGCCGGGAGCTACCTGAGCCCGGCCCACCCCTGGCAGACGCAAGGCAGCCCCCTGGCCCACCACCACGCGCCCGGCATGGCTCTCCACGGGGGGGAGCTGCCCGCCCCCGCGGCCTTCAAGCACCCCCCCTCCCGAGAAGGTAAGGACGGAAAGGCAGCGGCGGCTGAGTCGTGAAAGGCTGCCTTTCCAAGTGCGCCGAGGGAGGCGGTCGGGCGGGGACGGAGCGAAGGGCCGGGCGGCGGGGGGGTCCTTGGTCTGGCGGCGGGCTCGGCCTCCTTTTCGGCCCGGGGCCCTGCACAGAGCCCCGCTGCTCCATCCTGGCAGGCGCCCTTCTGTTCTGCGCCGTCGGGGCGGTCAAGGGGACCGGCGACTCGGGGAGGAGGGGGACAGGAGGAGGGGCGCGTTTCTCGGGGTCAGCCGGCGGAGTCCTCGATTGCAGGTGGGCTCACGTGGCGTGGGGGCCTCCGAAAGCCGGCCTCGGGGGTCTCGGTGGGTCACTTCGCGTTCTGGCCGCCGCTGAGTGCCCCTCCCCGGGCAGTTCAATCAGACGTCGGGGGTGCTTTCCGGGTAGGAAAAGGAACCCCGTCTTAGCCAAATATTTTCCTTCCCGTGGCATATCCCGCCCGCCCTCCCGCCGCATAAGGCCTTCGGCGCAGCGACCCCTCTCGCCCGGCGGGGCCCCGGGGCGGGCGGCGTGTGTGTGGTCCTTTTCGGAGTGTCAGATCCAAGCGGGCCTCGCGGAGCCCCCGGCGAGGCCTGGAAGTGCCCCCAAAGGCACGCAGACAGTTGGGGGAAAAGAAAATTAAATTTTCGAAAGGGAAGGGGCGATCGTTTCCCCAACGAGGAAGCGTGCAGGGTTGGATTTGGGGGTCCCCCCCGCCTCTTCTTTCGGGGGTCGCGTGGAAGCTCAGGCTTACGCCACGGCGCAAAATGCGAGCCCGGCTTGCAAGCAGCCTTAGGCCAGCGAAGGAAGAGTTACTCCAGGCGGAGCCCGCTGCAACCCCTCGGCTGAGAAGGGAGAAACGCTCCCGCTGCGCTCCTTGGGGCACCTGCGGCGGATCCTAAGACGTGACCTAGTGTTAGGGATTCTTAATTTTTGTTGGAGGTATTTCTATAGTTAATCAGCAGAGTAATCAGCATTCAGCAGAGTATTAAAGAGTCAGAGTCCATGGTGTGATTTAAATATAAAAGTTTACTACAACCTAGCATCGGGAAAAGGTACACGGAATGTAAAATAACAAAGAGCTAATATGCCTACATCCTTACAGCTAGACAGAACATGGCAGAAGCCTAATGAAGACTGAACTTCTTCTTGCTCAGGACAAAGAGCCATAAAATGCTAATACTGGCCACTCTCGTCTCCAATCAGAACAACAAACTAGATCTGAAGTTGCCGGGCTTTCTAGCTCTCTAAACAGATTGGATACAAACAAACATGTGATTTAGTACACAGTATTAACCCAGTAAATACTGAACAGTGTTTTAATTTGTAACTCCCAACAATTTTAAAGTGAATCAGCAGAGTATTAAGGAGGCAGAGTCCGTGGTGTGTTTAAAAGAATAAAAGTTCACTACAACCTAGCATGGGGAAAAGGTACACAGGATGTAAAATAACAAAGAGCTAATATGCCTACATCCTTACAGCTAGGCTGAAAATGGCAGAAAAGAGGGCTTCTTCTTCTTCTTCTTGGTCAGAACAAAGAAGCACAAGACGGGAAGAGAAGCCATAAAATGCTAATACTTGGCACTTTGGTCTCCAATCAGAACAACAAACTAGATCTGAACTTCCCGGGCTTTCTACCTGTCTAAAACAGATTGGTTACAAACAAACATGTGATTTAACAAACATCATTGACCCAGTAAATACTGAAAAGTGTTTTAACTTGTAACACCCAACACCTAGGAAGCAAGTCTCACGGTGCAATCCTGAGCAGACAGAAGCCGGTGGTCTTAGAAGGGTGCGTGGCTCTTCTCCGGATTGCACTGTGGGCGCAACTTGGTGCTCGAGTCCGAACCAGCTGCTGGCTTTTGGGTTCCTGGCGTTCAACGCAGGCGATGAAACCAGTCCAGCAACTCCATCCTCCGAGGGACACCTGCGTCCCCCCCCTAAACTGCTACACCCCCACCCGCCAGCCAGGAGCAGAGTTTGCAGCGGGCCTTCGCTTGAAATCCGCCTTCCCGGGAGTCTCTGCTCTCTGTCGCGGGCTGCCCCGCAGTGCTCCCTCTAAGCTGAGTTAGTGTGAGCTAGCTCACCGGTTTTTTTAGCCTCCGGCAGCAGCCCAATCGCTCGCTCACAACTTTCAGGCCGGTAGCTCACAAAGCAGAATTTTTGCTCACAAGACCCCACTACTTAGAGGGAGGCACTGCAGTGGGGCGCTTCCGAGACCAACTCCCAGCTCCTGGGCAGGCGGGCGGCCTTTAAGGGACACGCCAGTCTTCGCGCCTAGTTTTCTCGCCCGGGATGGAGCAGAAAATAACCGGGCTCGACGTTTCCTGGCCGGCCGCGCAGGGCGATGAGTTCGATGGGCGAGGGGGGACAATCGGGCCAGCGCTCCAACTACAGAACGAGGTTCAGTCGGGCACCTTTAAGACCAGCGAAGTTTTATTCAAGGTGTGAACTTCCGTGGGTGCGCGCACTTGGTCAGGCAATGCAATGGAGTCACGGAGAGAGGATGGCGTGTTCAATCAGCAGGCAAAAAAGAGTGGCGATGGTTTTTTTTTTAACAGAGAAAGAGAGCGACAGGCTCGCTTTCTGGTCACCACCAGCTCCAGAGAGTGATTTGCAGGGCAGCCTTTGGAAGGCCATAAATCTCGAGGCTGGAACCAGCTCGCGTTCTGGGACAAGGAAGAGAGACTCGCGAGTAGGGAAAGGCGGTCCGGCGGTCAGAAGACTGCCCGTTTTGTTTTTCTTTCGGAGTTTGCAAAATAAACTCGAAGGCGCTCCGTTCGCTTTCTTTCGACGGCGCGGCCTGGTTATCAATGAAGGCCTGGCTTGGCTTGGCTTTGCTTGCTGATACATACGGTAGTCTGTTTCCTAGTTTTGACATCACTTTGCTCGGACTCCTCGAGGGAAGCGTTTTCTCTCCCCCCCCCCCCCCCCCTGTCTCGTTTTTCGGCGACCGTCAGTTGAAACGGCCGGGCCGGCGAGTAATTTGGAGTCCTCTTTCCCAGAACGAATCTTTCGGTCAGTGGGTTTCGTTCACGCCCCCTGAACCTGAAATGCCGTTCCTCTCGACAAATCTGAAGGCACTACTACGATCCAGGCGATTAATGAACTACCTGTGCCGAACGGTTGTGCCCTTCCTTCGACGGCTATTTCATTTCTTCCTGAAATTTCTTTTCAAATAAAAAGGGAGACCCCCCCATGGACTGGAATGGCTGCAGACTGCGTGATGCTGCCCCGCCGCTTAAAATCCAGCCTCTGGTGTAGCGCATCCATTCCGGGGTTCCGTTTTCCGAACCGCCAACTCGCGGGGAAGATCTCTCTTGAAGGAAGGCGCAGCTCCTCTCCAATGCTCCCTCGAAGCTGTGGAGTCTTGTGAGCAAACATTCTACTTTGTGAGCTGCTGGCATTCAAGTGGTGAGCGAGCCATTTGGCTGCTGCAGAAATTAGTTTGCTCCGGAGCCCTCCTTCCTGAGCGGAGATGAAAATGTGTGAGCCGGAGGCTAGAAAACTGTGAGCTGGCTCACTCTAACTCAGCTTAGAGGGAACATTGCTTCCTCTCCCCCTTCCCTTTCAGAGAATTCCAGCCCGAGGAAGACCCTTTTTAAAGAAAAATAAACCACAACGTATTTCACCGTTGAAAGGGTCTTTTCCTCCCTGCTTTCCTGTCTCCAAACCTGCTCAGAAGCTTGGATCCTAAACAGTCTGAGTTGGTCAACGGGTTCCGTGGGTTCAGGACCCTGACGTCATTGCTCAGTAGAATAATAAATAGCCAAGGGGTGACAATCGTTGTAGGTCTAGTTTTAGATCTATTCGTTTTAAAGAAGGCGTGATAATCAGGCCGTTTTAAACGGGTTTGTACCAAATGGATCGTTGGTGTGATTTCAGTTTCAGTACTCAAATCTCAATTTAAAAAAAAACACACACCCTGCTCTCATTTGTGGAGTCAGCTTCCAGATGTCTTGACGGCTGATCTGTTTCTGTTGGATTTTTAAAATTAAAACTTGTAATTCAGCAGAGTTAGAATAGTTTAGCAATGCCAGATTAAAATAATTCAGAGTCAGAGTCCATGTGTGTTTAAAATAGAAAAGTTTTACTACATCCTAGCATAAGGAAAGGGTAACTGGGATGAAAATAACAACAGAGCTAAATAGCTACATCTTTACACTACAAAGGACAACACTAGAAGAGCTAGCAATGGCTTCTCTTACTTCTTCTTCAGAACAGAACACAAAGACGGGAAGAGGAGCCATAAAATGCTAAAATACTTCCAATGAAACTCCTAGATCAGGGATGGTTTTCCCAGGGCTTGTAGTCCTAAACTACCATTGGCTAAATGAAACATGTGATTTCCTGTGAGCAACACAAACATACATTTAACCCCATATATACTGAGTGTTTTTAACATGTAACACCCAACAGTTTCCCAACATTATCCTGTAAGCCATGACTCACAAAGCCAGCAGTGACTCAGGAGAGCTCCTATCCTGCCGCCAGACTTTGTTAGTCTTTAAGGTGCTACTGGACTCTTGCTGTTTTATCCTGTGCTAGTAGGTATTCGCTTACTGCACTAACTTAACTCACTGAGACCACAAGCAGATGAGCAGATACATGTAAATAGATGCCTGTTGGTACATTCGAATAGGTAAAGGCTGCACATTTCGGCTGAGAAGGAGTACACTGAAAACCTCTCCAATCAGTTTCATTATCAGTATATTATCAATTTTGTCATGGCTTGCTGTCAGATGAATAGCTTAATTCCAGTTTCGCTGAGGGATCTGACTGTTGCAAAGCTAAAGCATGGAGCAGTGTTTCTGATTCATCTCAAAACTGCAGAAGACTTTGGCCCTCCCCCGGTCATCGCTAGCACACTTGGCCATCCAGAAATTCCTTTTGCAAGAAGAGCATTTGGCCCAACCAGGACATAATTTGATTCCAGTCAATGTGTTGGGATTCTTTGATTCAGGGTCGATGGTTGTATTGCAAACACAGGGCCACACTTAGTAAAAGAAAAATATCTTTGCTATAAAAACAAAATAAAACATTGGTATGGTACTTTGGATAAAATAAATAGAATAAAAACATACTTGCAGTTACTCTCAGTAATATATGCTAACAGCTACATCTTTCTATCTCTCTTGACTTCTAGAAGAGAACTACCTCTTTGGTTCACACAAAGGGCCATAAACTTGTGAATACATCAATGCTAGATCAAAGCATTTCTACAAACAAGATGTTAGTTGACCAATACAAAGGTTACAGGTCACTTCATTAGGATAAACAACTCCCACAAACTTTCCCGCGGTTGAATACATTATGTAACGTAACATCCTGTTTCCTAACAAACAACATTTAACTCTGTAATGACTGAAGTGTAAGCAACTTGCAATTCCAACACCCCTTCTCACGTTCTAACATTTCAGTCATGCTTTGGATCGATTAGGTTCATCTTCTTACATAGGTTTGTGATCTTGGCTGCGCTGAGTGTAGGTAGTCAAAATGTCCGCGATCATTTCTTCAGTAGGACAGTATTGAACTTCAATCAGTCCTTTCTTTTGCATATCTTTCACTAAAAGACATTTGATGGCAATGTGTCTGCTGCTTGTCTTTGTATTTTCGCCTTTGCACAAGTTTATACATGCCTCATTATCTTCAAACATGAGTATTGGCTTAGGTTCTTCTATGCCGAAGCCCTTTAGCATGTAGATGATCCATTCTAGCTCATTGCAGGCAGCTTGAGCCGACACACATTCTTTCAGCAGTAGATTGAGCGACAATTTGTTGCTTTTTACTGACCCAGTGAATCACACTGTTTCCGTAGTAGAATAAGTATCCACGAGTTGATTTTCCATCTTCTTCCTTTTCCCTCCAGTTGGCGTCCATTTATCCAACTAGTCTTGGGTCGTCAGAGGCTGAAGTCAATAACTTTCGATCAGCTGTTTTCATGAGGTATCTGGCTAGTCTTTTCACAGCATTCCAGACATGATTATTTGGTGAACTCGTCTTTCTGCTTAAGATTCCAACTGCAGTAGAGATGTCTGGTCCAGGAACTCGGCTTAGGTACAAGAGCTTTCCATTTGCTTCTCTGTATTCATGATTGTTCTCAAGTAAGTTTCCATCGGGCAGGTCTAGGTAAGCTGATTCCATTGGTGTGTTAATGTTTCCATGTTTCTTTATGCCCATAGAGTCAACAAAGTCCATAATTTTGTGTTTCTGATTCAAGAGAAAACTCCCATCGTCCATTCTCTCAATTTGTATTCCAAGGTAGTGTTTTATATCTCCCAGTTGTTTCACCTCCACATCTCTGTTTAATTAATTAATTTAATTAAATAATGTTTCTTCTTTGTTTTGACAGCACAAAATCAGATCATCAACGTGAGTAAGCACATATTGGTATTGTCCATTCTTGATCCTTGTAAACAGACAGGATTCAGCTTCTCCTTGTTTGAAGACTTGCTTTTGTAATAACATAAGTTTATCATTCCATCCCTTTGCAGATTGTTTTTGTCCATAAAGATCCTTTTTAAGTCTACAGACAAGATCCTCTTTTCCTTCTTCTTGAAAACCGTCAGGTTGCTTCATGTAGATTTCCTCAGTTAATTCTGCATTAAGAAAAGCAGTTTTGATGTCCACATGTTCCACATGCATGCCTCTTGAGGCTGCTATGCTTAAGAGCATTCTGAAAGATGTGTGACTTACTACAGGTGCGAAAGTATCAGTTTAATCAAGTCCATATTTTTGCGTATAGCCTTTTGCCACTAGATGTGCTTTGTATCTTTCCACACTACCATCAGGATTGTATTTCACCTTGAGCACCCATTTGTTGTCGATAGCTTTTCTTCCAGGAGAAGCTTGCTTCTCATGTAAGGATCTGATTTCATCATTCATTGCATCCATCCATTTGTTTCTCTCTGGTGTAGGTAGTCTTTTTATGTCTCTCCAGTTTGAAGGTTCTTTGACAAGATGTACAGTTGCACAAATGCCAAGTCTCGGTGGTGGTACGGCTTTGTTGTCCCTTGCTGATCTTCTCACAGTAGTTGCAGTCTGTGTCTCTGTCTCCCTTGGCCTAAGGTTTCCTGCTTCCCCTTCTGATTCAGTACTTTCTATTGAAGGTGGACCTGCCTGTTCACAGGTGGTCTCTGCAGGTTGCCAAATGACCAGGTCACTGAAAGAAACATCTGCTGTAGTGTGCTGTTCAGTTTGCACACTGGACTCAGCTTATTCAGGGACTTGTAACACGCTGTTGCCATCTATATGTACCACATTACAGTCTTTGATCATACGAGTATTAGGATCCATGATTCTATATCCTCTTCCTCCAAGTGCATACCCAACAAGGATACCAAGTTCTGCTCGAGGGTCTAGCTTTCCCCTTCTTTGCTTGGGTATGAATGCGTAAGCTTTGGAACCAAATGGTCTTAAATGTTTTAGAGCTGGCTTTCTGCCATACCAAATCTCAAACGGAGTTAGGCCTGTCACTTTGGAAGGTATTCTGTTATGCAAATATTGACAGCTTCAGCCCAACAGAAATCAGAAAGTCCAGATTGCATAAGCATGGAGCGAGCCATTTCTTGAATGGTCCTGTTTAGTCTCTCAGCTGTGCCATTCTGTTGTGGGGAATAAGGCACTGTGGTTTTATGTACAATGCCTTCTTGTTCCATAAACCTTTGGAACTCACTGCTACTGTATTCTGTTCCATTATCTGTAAAGAACACTTCTGGAACTTTGCCAAACATATTTTTCACAGATGCAATGTAAGCTTTGAACTTATCAAAAACTTGATCTTTGCTTTTGATCAAGTAGACAAAATCATATCTGGATTTTGCTTCCATAAAGGTTAGAAAGTATCTACTTCCACCAGCTGATGCCTTTATAGGTCCTACTATGTCTGAGTACACTGTTTCTAGAAATTTCTCACTGTGGACAGTAGAATTACCTTTGTAGCTTGGGGATTTTCCCTTTGCTCTGATACATACATCACAACCATTTTGCATTTGATTACAATCAACAACATTAGTGTTACATTCTCTCAATAATTTTTGTACACTTTTCACATTACGGTGACCCATTGTTACATGCCATTTAAAAAGACAATTTTTATGCTCACACACAGGTTGCATGGTACTACACACAGCCCATTAACATCATTAGCATCATCAACATTCTGCACATCATTAGCATTTTCAAAATCATTCTCAATATCATCATCATTTTCAACATCATCATTCTCAACAATATTTTCCAAATAAAGTAAACCATCTTTTTCATGTAACATTAATTTAAATTTAGAGTTAACATAAAAAAATGCAGCTATCTTCTTTTCCAACAAGGACTCTGTATCAATTTTCCACAATTCTCCTAGTTGAGAGTATGTTATTTGTACCTTCAGACGCATAGACACAATCCTTCAGTAGAATCTCCTCAGTTTTCTGATTTATGTTCATAACTCTCAGCAATACAGAACCACATCCTTGAATATTTAATTCTTGACCATTAAACTGTTGCAGGCTGGGACGTTTATGTTCATCAACCTCAATAAAGCATTCTCTTTTATTACACACATGACTATAGCTTCCAGAATCCACAAGCCAATGATTCTTAAGATTTGCATTTCTGTCAGATTGTACTCTCAGAACTAACATTTTGTTTGTTGTCCCAAAAAGATCCCTTCTTGTGTCAGATAATTTACAGTAAAATCAACAGTCAGGTCTTTCTGTGCTTGTAATACAGCAATTTGATTTTTGAAACTCTCAGGTAGACTATTGAAGATAGAAACAATGATCTCTTTGTCAGGGAGTGTGTTTCCTGAAGCTCTTATATCAGATACAATTTTCAGAATTTTATCCAAGTGTTTAGCAACTGATTCACCTTCATGTATTTTAATACTGTGCATGCTTTGTCTAAGGAATAATGCTTGTGAATCATCCTTTTGCCCATAATGACCTTTGAGCCATTCCCACCATGTCTTTAGCTGTCTCACAATCCACTAGCAACTGGCATTCCATTGCGTTAACATAACTCATAATTAAGCCTTTTTCAACTGCATCTCTTTTCAGAAATTCTCTTTTCTGTGGCTCCTGATCAGGGACATTCTTGCTTAAAACATCTTCAGCATCATGCACTGTTAAAGCTATTTTTGTCTCAGTTGACCACCATCTATAGTTGTGGGCAGCTAAGGTAGGGATTTGAAAGTTTGGTGCACCACGCACTGTAGTATTTCCATTGTTACTCACAGGCATTGATCTTGATCCAGATGCTGGTTCGTCACCGCTCGACATTCTCTCGGTTTGAAAGGGCTGCTGTGTAATTCTCACTTCTTTTTGGCTGGAGGGTATGCAGGGATTAGTTAGCTCTGTTGACCTGTAGACTTGTCTCCAGCATGAGCAGGAATCTCTTTGCAGGTCCGGTAAACAAAATCTCGTGGCCAAAAGCTTCTAACTTTAAAAAGAACTCTCTCTGCCTTTTGTAATTCAGTTCAAGAAAACAGTGGGCTTCTTTTGTGTTGCAAATAAACCCGTGCTCTGCTACCACTTTGTTGGGATTCTTTGATTCAGGGTCGATGGTTGTATTGCAAACACAGGGCCACACTTAGTAAAAGAAAAATATCTTTACTATAAAAACAAAATAAAACATGGGTATGGTACTTTGGATAAAATAAATAGAATAAAAAGTTACATATTTGCAGTTACACTCAGTAATATATGCTAACAGCTACATCTTTCTATCTCTCTTGACTTCTAGAAGACTTCTAGAACCTTTTTGGTTCACACAAAGGGCCATAAACTTGTGAATACATTAATGCTAGATCAAAGCATTTCTACAAACAAGATGTTAGTTGACCAATACAAAGGTTACAGGTCACTTCATTAGGATAAACAACTCCCACAAACTTTCCCGCCGTTGAATGCATTATGTAACATAACATCCTGTTTCCTAACAAACAACATTTAACTCTGTAATGACTGAAGTGTAAGCAACTTGCAATTCCAACACAATGAGTTCAGCCCAGGAATCCCACATACAATTATTTGTAAAAAGAATGATCCTGACAGAGAATTAAAGCCCCCATTTGCAGAATGAGCATCAAACTACAGAAGATGGACTGGAGTCGCTGGATGGTTGTGGAGGGATTCGTGTGCCACTGTCCTACCTTCCCTACGTTTGGCTACAACACCTACTGTGACCTAGGTGGGCACCAGTGTTCCCTCTAAACTGAGTTAGTGTGAGCTAGCTCAGTTTTTTAGCCTCCGGCTCACACATTTTTGCCTGAGCTCAGGAAGGATGGCTCCAGAGCAGACTAATTTATGCAGTATCCAAATCGCTCGCTCACAACTTTAATGCCAGGAGCTCACAAAATAGAATTTTTGCTCACAAGACTCCACAGCCTAGAGGGAGCATTGGTGGGCAGGATAGTTTAGTGATTATAAGAAAAATCTACTCCCCTTCAACCTTTTGTTCTAAAAATCAGTTTCTCCTCTGCTTTGGGGCATAGCATTCCTGAATTAAAAACGAACCCACCACCTTCCAGTGTAGCTCCGGCCTAACTATAAATCTCTGCACAGGCTGCTTCTTAACATGGATAAATCCAAATGCACTCCTGTTCTTTTTAGAGACAGCAAACACTCAACACTGTATCAAGAGGAAGGGACCAGGAGGATATTTATAATTCCGAAAGCAAACCCCTTTCCCCAGACTTTAAACAATGCAATCAAGAAACAGATATTGTCTAGGATTTGGTTTATTTTAGCCTGTTTTGTCCATATGGTTAAGTGCAGCACCAATTTAGCACGTGTTCCAATCTGTTTGATAAGTGGACCAAACAGCGGATACCCAGGAGTGTGAAGCACGGTCATTTGGAAGCAAGTTGGTCTCAATAGGGCTTACTTCCAAATTTTAGGAGCCACATGCACAGGTGTATAGGACATTCATTCTTCTTTGGGATGCTTAATTTCTTGCAAGAACAGACCAAGCTACAGATGTCAGCTCTGTTCCAACTGTTCCCCCCCCCCCTACTCTGCTGTAGATAGGTTGGAGGTCATGGGCATAGTTTAGGGGCATTGTTAAAGGTCCCATCAAAAGGAATCAAATGTGTTATATTGGACAACCTTTTTCTCATTGGTATTGTGTTTTAAAAGTTCCAGAGAGGCAGGTCACTGCCCTGAGGAGCTTACAATAAAAATTTTCACAAGAAAAGGATGAATACCAAGGGTCACAAGAGAGGAATTTGAACAAACCCAAATACACTTAGGTGACTGTCAGTTGTAGGTGAAGACTAAGGTGCTAAAACCGAAGGCTACAGGGAAATATTGGGATTGGGGGCCAGGCTAGAAGGAAGAGACCCCGTAATTCTCAGTGAGACTTCTCAGCCAAGGCAT